TGCTCCTCCGGCTCCCGGGAAGCCGCGAGTTTCCGCAGGGAGGCGGCGGCAGCTGCGGCCGGGCCGGTGAGTTGGGAACTAGGTGTGGGGCTGGACATGGGAAGTCAGGGGGGCCCAGAAGTGGGGGGAACCGGCGTCTGAGGATGAGGGAGCTCCACAGAGGGTGCCTGAGGTCCTGACGTGGGGGACCCCAGGGAGATGGGGCCCCAGGGTCCAGGATTCCAGGATAGTGTGGGTGCTAATGAGGAGAGGGGGCACATTGCACGGAGCGATCGAGGCCGATGGAGGGGGAATCGGGAAACTGATCCTGTACCCAAGCTGGCTTCTAGGAGCCGGGTGTAGAACAGCGAGGACAGTCACTTGGGAGCAGGATCTTGGACTCTGGGCTGCCCATTCTCTTCTTCCTTGTCAACTAAGAGCTGTAAAGAGAGGCCTAGCCGTTGGGAGAGGTTGAGACCTGCTTTCAGAGGGCATTTAAGGTTCCTTTCCCAGAAGCCTGGGGGATAAAAATGCTGCTCTGCCACTGGGAGACAGAAGGAGCTCATGCTTCTCTTTCTTCCGGACATCTGTGGTGGGATCCTCTGAGTCTGAAGGAGCCTGCCTAGAGGGGCCACTGTCTGGCTAACAAGGGTTTTGTTTGTTTGTTTGTTTACTTAGTAGAGTTTGCAGACACCTAAATATCTTGGGAGAATTGAGGCTCCCGGGGCAGGGAGGGATTGAGAGGGAATACACCTGGAAACCTAAGAGAAAAAGAGCGGAAGAAATATAGTATGAAGATTTTTAGAGGGAAAGGAGAGGTGGCATAAGTTCTCCTTTCCCTTTCCAGGAAGTCTTTCAGTAAAATTCCCATTTTTCTGGAATGCTTTGACGTAGAGCTGCTTGGGTGTGTGTCTGAGTACTAAGCCCTGCCCCAGGGTGGACTCAGTGGAGAACAAAGGCTTTTGAAGAAGCCTAGCCACCATAGGTACACACACGTCTTGTCACCCCATTTGTCTGTCCCCCAGTTCTTACTTGGCTCTTTTTTTCTTTGAGGGCTCCTAAGACCAATTCCCTGGTTCTGTAAAACCCAGGCAATTGGAGGCCCAGTCTGGAGCCTGAGTCCTCTCCTTGAAGCCAGCCTCCTGAGCTCAGCACAGGGGTAGCTGCTTAGTGAGGTTCCCTCGTCATTCCTTCTCTCCTGGTTGCCTGCTTGTCCTTGGTGCCTGTTCTGTTTTGTTTGCACTCTCTGGCTTCCCCCTGTTTCGCCCCGGCCTCCTCCCTCCTTTCACTTTCCCTGATATCCTTCTGAGGTAGACAAATCAGGAAGTTCACTACCACCTGGACTTCTAGGACGTTATTACCTACTCTTTCAGGAGACATTTTGGTAAGTTTTTTGCTAGGCCTCTAGGGAAAAAAATGAAAAGAGGTGGCATGATAGCACAGGAAGTGGGGTTTCTGAGTGTTATACTGATTTGGCCTCACCGTACCAGTTCTGCGCCAGTCTATGACCAGTTTTAGATCTTTGAAAATGACAACTAAGTTTCTCTGGTCCCTGGTCCTGGAGTTGATCTAACCTTTGCTGGTCGCACTGGGATTGGTGGGACGCTGTTTCTTCTGTTCTTGGGCCCCACAGGTCTGTAGCCTTTGCTGAGTCAACACTACTCACGGTGAAAGTGATGCCTTTTCTCCATTTGCACAACATGAGTGTGGCGTGGTTAGCCAGACCAGGAGCTCAACCTCATGTAGAGTCCAGGTGGGCACGGGGCCCTGTTATGGGGAATTAGCCTTGAGGACAACTGGACTGAGGAGGCAGCTAGGGAAAGATTTATGTCCCCTCTAAATGTAGGGGTGAAGAGGTCTGTCCTAAAGAACAGTCACGAATGCAGCCAGTGGTTTGTGGGAGCGATGTGTGCTTTGAGCCCCGTGGGTGGCAACAGGGGACGGGTGCAGTGCCTGTGGGCAACCGGACCTCCTGCTGGATTAGCTGGTGTCGTGAGGATTGGCTGTCTTGCTGTGGGAGGCCATCCGCTGGCGTTAGTGCTGGCCCACACTCCACCTGGGGGCTTATCCCTGCTGGTCAGGGATAAATGTGAACAGAAAGAGAGGATCAGATGTTTCATAATTTAAAAGGCATGGCTTGGGGACTTCCAGGGGGAATGCGTGGATGGCTCAGCATCTCCCTCTCAGATTCCTGCAGTTACCAACTCTTTAATCTCTTCCACATCCTTTTTCTCTGTCTGCAGTCCGCTGCTCTGATGCCGAAGGGGAGGCAGAAAGTGCCACACTTGGATGCCCCCCTGGGCCTGCCCACCTGCCTCTGGCTGGAATTAGCGGGGCTCTTCTTACTGGTTCCCTGGGTCATGGGCCTGGCAGGGACAGGTGGGCCTGATGGCCAGGGCCCAGGGGGGCCGAGCTGGGCTGTGCACCTGGAAAGCCTGAAAGGTGACGGGGAGGAAGAGACTCTGGAGCAGCAGGCGGATGCCTTGGCCCAGGCAGCAGGGCTGGTGAATGCTGGACGCATCGGAGAGCTTCAAGGGCACTATCTCTTTGTCCAGCCTGCTGGGCACAGGCCGGCCCTGGAGGTGGAGGCCATCCGGCAGCAGGTGGAGGCTGTGTTGGCTGGGCATGAAGCTGTGCGCTGGCACTCAGAGCAGAGGCTGCTAAGGCGGGCCAAACGCAGCGTCCACTTCAATGACCCCAAGTACCCACAGCAGTGGCACCTGGTGAGTCCAGTCCTACAGTGTGCGGTTTCAGGTGGGTAGGTTCCAGTCCAGTTCTTTAGTGGGCTTTTGACTATATCGCTCTTCAGTCGCCTCCATCCTTCGCCTGAGGGACCATTTCCCGGTTCTGTGGTGTTTCCCTCAGCTCTCCCTCCCTCCTGCTGTCTTCTAGAAGCCGGTGTTCTGCAGTACTCAGGGCACAGATGGTGCCCCCAGGCTGCCTGGGCTCAAGGTCCAGCTGCGCCACTTACTAGCATGTGCATTTGGGCAAGCTGCTTAACCTCTGTGCCTCAGCTTCCCCATCTGTAAAGTGAGACTGTAGTAGTGCCCACCTCATAGAGTTATGGTTAGGGTAAGTGAATGCATACATGTGTAGCACTTGGAACAGTGCCTGACACATAGTAAACGCTATGACATAAGTGATACGATACTACCATTGTCATAAGAAGTGTGTCATCCGGCCGGGCGCAGTGGCTCACGCCTGTAATCCCAGCACTTTGGGAGGCCGAAGCGGGTGGATCACGAGGTCAGGAGATCAAGACCATCCTGGCTAACACGGTGAAACCCCGTGTCTACTAAAAATACAAAAAAATTAGCCGGGTGTGGTGTCGGGCGCCTGTAGTCCCAGCTACTCGGGAGGCTGAGGCGGGCAAATGGTGTGAATCCGGGAGTTGGAGCTTGCAATGAGCTGAGATCACGCCTCGGCACTCCAGCCTAGGCGAGAGAGCGAGACTCCATCTCAAAAAACAAAAAAAAAGAAGCGTGTCATCCAACCCTTCACCCTAGCCTCCATTTCACCCCGAATCCCCCATGACTGATGGCAAACTTTCCTGGAATCCAAGGCTGTGGCAGAGCTCTCACCTGCCCCTTCTTGGCTCTGTTCCCACCTGACCTATTGGCCTGCAATCTCTGTCTGGCTCTTTGGTGGAGGCCAAGGGTGAAAAGGGATTGCTAGCTATAACTTCGTCTCCCTCTGGGCTGGGCTGTGTGTCACTGGATTCCCACCCTGTCTGTCTTACAGAATAACCGACGGAGCCCGGGCAGGGACATCAACGTGACGGGTGTGTGGGAGCGCAATGTGACTGGGCGAGGGGTGACAGTGGTGGTAGTGGATGATGGAGTGGAACACACCATCCAGGATATTGCACCCAACTATGTGAGTGGCCCCTCACCCACCACGTCTTACCTCCTTCTTGGTGTTGCCTCAGTCTTGGCCCTTTTTCTAGAGGTCTTTGGGCCAAATAAAGGAGCCTGGGAGGTGAGATGGGGTTCATCCTCTCCTTTTCCCGAGCCAGCATTTCAGACTGGTAGTCAAGGCACAGCAGGTGGCTCTAACTCTAAGGGAGAGCAATCCTGCTTCCAGTTCTAGTCCTTTTCTGAGGAGTGAGGAATGGCCCCTGCAGGCAACTTCCCTCTTGTTGGAAATCCGAGTACCTTCCTCTCTCTGAAGCGTGGCCTCTAGGGAGCCCTACCTGCCTTTTATTCCAGGTTTCCCAAGCCATGGAGCTGTAGGCACCTTCGCATAATGGGCAAGAGAAGTTTGCTGGGAGCTGTGGCACTTCTCAGTTTTGCCCCAGTGTCTTTTGCTCATATCTTTTAGCCAGTGTGGTTTGCAGATAGAAATGGGCTTATTGGGTCCAGGCACGGTGGCTCACGCCTGTAATCCCAGCACTTTGGGAAGCCAAGGTGGGCGGATCACAAGGTCAGGAGTTTGAGACCAGCCTGGCCAAGATGGTGAAACCCCGTCTCTACTAAAAATACAAAAATTAGCCAAGCGTGTTGGTGCTCACCTGTAGTCCCAGCTACTCGAGAGGCTGAGGTGGAAGAATTGCTTGAACCCGGGAGGCAGAGGTTGCAGTGAGCTGAGATTGTGCTACTGCACTCCAGCCTGGGTAACAGAGTGAGACTCCATCTCAAAAACAAAAACAAAGAAATGAGCTTATTGCCCTAGCTTCAAGTCCCAAACTCCCATTTCCTTTCTCTCCCTGAATCCCAGGACCTGACCCCCCTCTAACCAGTGAATGACCACATGTCACCTCCGAAATATTTCAGAGCCCTGAGGGTAGCTATGACCTCAACTCTAATGACCCTGACCCCATGCCCCACCCGGACGTGGAGAATGGCAACCACCATGGCACGCGATGTGCAGGAGAGATCGCGGCTGTGCCCAACAACAGCTTCTGTGCCGTGGGCGTGGCCTATGGGAGCCGCATCGCAGGTAACTCGTGCCTCCAGCCTAGCCTTGGTAGGCTGCTCCTGTGACCACAGTCTTCATTTCCTGCACCCCTCCCTACTCTGAAACTTCTCTATCCCATAGCCCAGCTGACACACATAGCATAGAGCAAGGGTGAGTTTATCATAGGTGTCTATAGGACATATCAGCTCATTTATTTTTCAGTGCAGTGGTGTTTCAAACATGTTTTTCTATTTGTAGTTCCATAATTTACAAAGTGCCTTCTTGTTGGTTCTTTCTCTATGATCCGATACGTCTATGGGGGCAGCCCTTGCGTTTCCCAGCTCTCCAGCTTCCAGTCACACTGATGGTCATGGGCTGCTCTCTATCCTTTTGGGAGGGCTGAGCAGCCCTATTCCTCCCTGGAGGTGGTTCTGTGGTTCTTTCACACTCAACCTCTGTCCATTAAGGCCGAAGGTGAAGGGAATGAATGGGGAAACCCTCACCATAACTCCTTATTAGGAGTGCTTGGGAACCTACAGACTGAATTGACTAACTGTATTCCTCTTATACTCCAGCAGAGGGCAGTAGCTCTCCATAAATGAGACTACGGGGGAGCCAGAAACCCTGTCCAAGTCCCTTCTCTGAAAGTGCCACAGCACTGCAGCCTGGGTGACAGAGCCAGACTTTGTCTCTTTCTCTCTCTATATATTTTTGGTGGGGGGACAAGTAATACATATACAAGGTGTAAAAATGCAAAATGGGCTGGGCGCGGTGGCCACAGGGATCATACCTGTAATTCCGGCACTTTGGGAGGCCAAGGCAGGCAGATCACCTGAGGTCAGGAGTTCGAGACCAGCCTGACCAATATGGTGAAACCCCATCTCTACTAAAAATACAAAATGTAGCTGGGCATGGTGGCATGCGCCTGTAGTCCCAGCTACTTGGGAGGCTGAAGCAGGAGAATCGCTTGAACCCGGGTGGTGGAGGCTGCAGTGAGCCGAGATCATGCCACTGCACTCCAGTCTGGGCGACAGAGTGAAACTTTGTCTCAAGAAAAAAAAAAAAAAATTGCAAAATGTACAAACAGCATGTAGGGAAAAATAAATCTCCCACATATGGCTCCCCACCTCCCAGTTCCCCAGCTAGGAGACCAGCATTAGTGAGGAGCTGCTGTGGCCTTCATTGCCTAGGTATCCGGGTACTGGATGGACCTCTCACAGACAGCATGGAGGCAGTGGCGTTCAACAAGCACTATCAGATCAATGACATCTACAGCTGCAGGTGAGGCAGAGCTGCACATGAGAGCAAGAGTCTGGAGCACCTGGGACAAATCTGCCATTGAAAGCCCAACCAAGTGGGCTGACTCAGCCAGAGCAGGGGTCTCCTCGTTGGGTTCAGCTAATACATCCATTGCCTTCATTTCTCTAGATTCCCAGCCACTGGGCTCTCAACCTTAAGCCCCTGCCACCGCCGTAATCAGGTTGCCACATGAGAAGCCCTGGCCTGTGCACATTTATTTGTTTTCTAAACTCCTAAGGCCTCTGCAAGAAAGCGGGCTTTCCTCTCCAACCACAGGCCAGCTGAATGCCCAACACCAATCCCCCACCCCACGTCAATGCACTGCACCTTCAGGGCATGGCTGTGCCGGACTGGACAAGAAGGAAATGGGGTTGGGGGCCCCCATAGCATTGATGGCACCTCTTCCTCCCCCAGCATACCTCCTTTAAATCCATGACATCATCCACAGGGTACACTTCCTGATAGAGACAGAATAGAGAACTCCTCAGCCTGATAACCAGGAGCTTCCACAGAAGTTCATGGGTGCTCTGCCTTCTACCCCACGAGTTGGGCCAGGCGCGGTAGCTCACGCCTGTAATCCCAGCACTTTGGGAGGCTGAGGCGGGTGGATTGCTTGAGATCAGGAGTTCAAGACCAGCCTGACCAACATGGTGAAAACAAAAATTAGCCAGGCGTGGTGGCGGGCACGTGTAATCCCAGCTATTCCAGAGGCTGAGGCAGGAGAATTGCTTGAACCTGGGAGGCAGAGGTGGCAGTGAGCCAAAATCGTGCCACTGCACTTCAGCCTGGGCGACAGAGCAAGACTCCGTCTCAGGAAAAAAAAAAAAAAAAAAAAAAATCTACATGTCTCTGATCCCTAGATCAGGAGATGAGTGACCTCTGTCCCTCTCTGCCACTATGGGCTATGGGGACATTCACAAGGAAAAGAAGAGCCTTAGCACACTTCTGCTTTCTACGTTGGAGAGGGGATGGACCTTTGAACCCTGTGCCTTGTAATCACAGAAGCCTTTAAGTGGAACCCTTGGGAGGAGTTAAGAGCCGCAGGTCAAAGGGTAGCCAGCTGAGACTGGGAGGCGCTGGGTGGGTAGCCATAGCCTGGCTCTGGCTGTCCCCTCTAGGTATTTATTTCTCAACAGCTGGGGACCAGATGATGATGGGAAGACAGTGGATGGCCCCCATCAGCTTGGAAAGGTAACTGGCCTGCACAGAGACTAAGAGACAGGATGCGTTCTCCATTCAGTCCCAGAAGACCTGCTGCAAGCTGACCCATCTTCCCACTCCATCTCCATGCGCAGTCTCCTTTCAGGAAGAGAACACCGAACGTCGGGGCAGGAAGCCTGGGGGACTTTCGTTCCTAGAGAGGGAAAGGGAACAGTACTTTGAGATTGTCTCCCTTTCATCTTGTCCTCAGCTCCCATGCCCGGCCCCACCCTGTCCTCTGATAAGTGGAGGGCGTCCATCAGTCATCATTCAACTCACAGCTGCCCCACATCCTGGGCCAACTCCTAGCTCCCTCCTCACATCCAGGGTCCATCTTCCAGTCTTTTCCCCATCCCAGTGCCCTTTGAACTTTTTTCCTTTTGTTTCTAGAAGGGATGGAGAGGGTGACTGATGTAGTAGGTGGAGGTCTTTCTGTGGGTTCCTCAACTGACACCCTGATGTTTTGGCTCCTCAGGCTGCCCTACAACACGGAGTGATTGCTGGTCGCCAGGGCTTTGGGAGTATCTTTGTGGTAGCCAGTGGCAACGGAGGCCAACACAACGACAACTGCAACTACGATGGCTACGCCAACTCCATCTACACGGTCACCATAGGTAGCCTCCCAGTGTTTCTGTGCTCCTGTGTGTGTGTCACCGGATGCTTAGGGCATCACACGTGTTGTCCCAGCTTCTGTGTGTGTCTAAGGGTTAGGGTTAGGGTGAGGGTTAGGGTGAGGGTGAGGGCGAGGGTGAGGGTGAGGGTTAGGGTGAGGGTGAGGGTTAGGGTTAGGTTAAGTTATTGTGTGAGCACAATAATCTCTTTGGGCTCAGATAGGACTAGCCTTGGTTGCAGAGGACCTTGGGACTTCCTTAGATGTCAACATACCCTGGGAACACCTTCAAGCCATCATCTGGAGATCACCAAGCTGCCTCCACCCCACCACAGCTGGTTAGGCCTCTGCTGTGGCCTGTCTTTCTGTGGGCCACCTTCCACCTGCTGGAAGCCTCCCCTGACTGCCCACGGGCCTAAATTAAGTGCCCTTTGCCTGTGCTCCCAGTTAGCATTTGCCACCCCAACTGCGTTTATTTCCTTACCTGACTTCTACCTGACTCTAGGCTCCTTGAGACCAGGACTGCGGCCTTTTCCATATGGCCCTGATGCCTGGCACAGGGTGTGACCCACGGTAGATGGGTAATGAATGTTGAAAACAGTGAGCATGTGAATGAATAAGTGGGTATAAAGGTAGAAGGCTTCCAGTTGTACCCCAGAGCCTGTTGAAAGAATGGTATTGTGGCACAGAATGCCCTCTGCCACTTGAGACTGCCTGTTTAGAAGAGGATCAGGACCACTCTGAGGGATGTGGGCCGCTCAGATCATGTTTCAAACTCAGGACAGCCCTCCAGGATGATAACTCCAAGATAACTGACATTAGCAAGCCCCTGCCACAGGATCCCCTCTTCATCTCAGCTCTCATTTCCCTCCTCTGTCCCCAGGAGCTGTGGATGAGGAGGGACACATGCCTTTCTATGCAGAAGAATGTGCCTCCATGCTGGCAGTCACCTTCAGTGGTGGGGACAAGATGCTTCGGAGCATTGTGAGTGCCTCCCGGGCCCTCCATGGCCTGCCCCTTTCCCACAAGACTTCACGTCTCGGGCATCACAGCGCTTCTTACTGTTCCCTGCTTCCCGGCCCCAACACTCAGGCTCCTCTTCCCCCACAGAGCTGGATCTCTTAAGGCATGCCACCCTTGGAGGAGCAGACCCGGGGACTCTGAATACTTCTTGGGAATGCTTTTATCTTAGAAATTTGGATTTAGGACAAATATACACACTGTTCCCCATGTGAAACTAAGTGTCACATGGGGCCAAACACGGTGGCTCACTCCTGTAATCCCAGCACTTTGGGAGGCTGAGGTGGGTGGATCACTTGAGGTCAGGAGTTCAAGACCAGCTGGCCAACATGGCGAAACCCTGTCTCTACTAAAAATACAAAAATTAGCCAGGTGTGGTGGTGTGTGCCTGTGATCCCAGCTACTCGGGAGGCTGAGGCAGGAGAACCACTTGAAACAAGGAGGCGGTTACAGTGAGCCAAGATCGCACCACTGTACTCCAGCCTGGCTGACAGAACAAGACTCGTTCTCAAAAGAAAAACAGAAACTAAGTGTCACATGGATTAAACACCTTTTTCACACTCAAGGAAATGCACAAACAACTTCTTTGCAATGTCTTCCTTTGGTAAAATTTGAGCTTTTGCTAATTTCTGTGGACTTAAAAAAAACTCATCATTCCATTGCCCTTCAGCCCTTAGGTAAATCCTGAGTTCTGGTCATGTGCGTCTTCAGGAGTAATGCTAGTCTGGTGGTGGTTTTTATGGGATGGGTGGGAAGAGGAGTTGGGGAGTGTCTCATGTCAACACCAGAGAGAGCTCTTTCTCTGGAGCTAAAATTGGAGCCATAGCAAATGAGATTGGAGCAGGGTCATGGAGGTTCTCTAACCTGTGGAACCCATTTAAAGAATTTGAAGATGATCACCTACACCCAACTGGGCTTAGCGTCATCCCAGCAGGTTTAAGCCAGGCCTCTAGACCATTATCCTAGAGCTCCCTGCCTGTCCCTGTTGCCCACAACCATGTAATGTGGGCGTAGGAGGCTCTAGGCAGGAGCTGGGCTGGAGCCAGGTGGTGTCAGATTTCTCCAGTGGCTGAGTGGGGAGGTCTCTCTGGGGCCATTGGGAACTAGACTGCTTTGTCTTCCTGCTGGGTCCAATTTATTTTCCAAAACTAAAATTTTGTTATGCCAATAAATGACTTCTGGTCAACACAATGTTCCAAGGCTCTGTGCCAGTTGACCCCTACTACCGCCTCCCACTAGCCCCAGGGAGAAGAGAAAAGGGAGTGGACTAGAGAGGGAAGAGAGGTTGGGCTGTGTGCACAGAGGGCACCCACTGCAGGCCAGGCTGGGTTAGGAGGAAGAACAGGAACATACCACGCTCCACCCTCTAGCAGAACTCTAGGGAAGCCAGCTCACCCTGCTCAGGCCAGGGACCTGAGAAGGTTCTACAACATAATGTCACTCTTGTTCTGCTGTACCTGGCCTTTCTCATCTTAACTCACCTCAGCTTCTCACCCTCACCACCCTCTTCCATCTGAACTGTAATTTGCCCAGAAATGAAAAGACAGTATGTTTAGCAGAGTTCCCATCTTTGGAATGTCCTTGCCATGGAAACTCCTTGTTGCCAGTTTCTAGTCAATGACCAGGGCAGCTGGGTGGAGCTGTCTTTCTGAGGGCAGAGGCTGGGGGCATATGCTTCCCACCATTTGGCTCCCTAGGGAAGCGAAGCTTCTCTGGACTTTCAATGCCTGCCTGTGGCTCCTGCCACCACAGGCAAGTTCGTGGGCTTCACAGCCGCACTTCAGACTATCACTGCAAGGCTGTTTCCTTAACAGGGAAAAAAAACAACCCGCTCCCTTGCATAAACCAGGCTCCCACTCTCATTGAGACTACCACTTGGAGAGTGCTTTTCCCTTTTTTTCTGGGAGTGCGCCATGGCTGGGTGAAAATTACATCTCTTGGCAGCTGCTCTAACAGCTGGGAGGGAAGCAGTGAGTACAGTGGAGAAAGGGCAGCTCTTGGCAGAAGTCGCCACCCTGGTATCTGACCCAGAAGAGAAGTTTAGAAGAAAGAAATTCTCTGGTGTTAGCACTGACACCATGGGCCAAAGATCCAAGTGCCATGGAGTGGAGCAGATTTCGGCAGGGCCCGCCTCAGCTAAACCCTCTGAGGCTCCGAGGTTGATGACAGCCCAAAAAGAGCTTGATGCCAGACAGACACTGTCTCCCCTTGCCCCATTCTCACTCCCCACCTCAGAACCACATGGAGAGAAGGGGTTTCATGGCATCTGGCCCAGAGCAGTGAGGCAGCTTGTCCTATTGAGAGCTGTAGAGCCGGGCAGGTGGGCCTTATAGACACTGAGTCCATGCAGGGCTCTGGGGTGGGCAAGGACACAGTCTTCTTGCTGGAACATACTCCCCGTGTTCATGCCGACATCATTCCAGCCCCTGTCATGGAGATGCCAAACTGGATTTCCTCAAATAGTGCCATCAGTGTTGTCCCAGCTCCAGCTGGGCCCAGTAGCTCCCCTGACCACTTCCTCTGTCTAGCTTGGTTGTGGGGGTTGAAGGGTTTGGAGTTAGGAGATGGGATAGAGAATTTAGGAATGGGAGCAAGAATATTAGGAGCAAAAATTGGGAGGCCCCCCCCATAGTGGCTCATGCCTATAATCCCAACACTTTGGGAGGCCAAGGCAGGAAGATTGCTTGAGGCCAAGAGTTCGAGACCAGCCTGGGCAACATAGCAAGATGCTGTTTCTACAGAAAATAAAAATATTAGTGGGGTGCAGTGGTACACGCCTGTAGTCCCAGCTACCTGCGAAGCTGAAGCAGGAGGCTCGCTGGAACCCAGGAGTTCAAGGCTGCAGTGAGCTATGATCTTACCACTGTACTCCAGCCTGGGTGACAAAGGGAGACCCTGTCTCAAGGAAAAAAAAAAAAAAAGAAAAGAGTTAGGAAACCCTTATCTGCACTGGATGGGAGCCCTTTCCTATCTCTACCTCCTTTTCCCAACAACCACACCCTCAAAAGTAACTTTTATCATCTTTGTCTCTGTTCTCCAGACATTCTGCTAGGAGGCCAGGACCTGCCCTACTACTGGGTCCCTCTCTAGTCAAAGATTCAGCTGTGGCAAGGGAAGGGTCCACCTGAGAGTCCTGTTCGGAGGACCAGCCCTGTACCTTCCCCCCCATAACAACTTTGAATGCAGTCTCTAGCTTCTTTTTAAAAAATTATTATTTTTTTATTTTTTAGAGATGGGTTCTCACTCAGTCACCTAGGCTGGAGTGCAGTGGCACAGTCAGAGCTCACTATAACCTTGAACTCCAGTGCTCAAGCAATCCTCCTGCCTGGGCCTCCCAAGTAGCTGGCACTCTAGGTGCACACCACTGTCCCTAGCTTAAACTCAGTCTCTAACCTGCTTCCTTTTCCCATTCTACTTCCAGGTGACCACTGACTGGGACCTTCAGAAGGGCACTGGCTGCACTGAGGGCCACACGGGGACCTCAGCTGCAGCGCCTCTGGCAGCTGGCATGATAGCCTTAATGCTGCAGGTGCGGCCCTGCCTCACATGGCGTGACGTCCAGCACATCATTGTCTTCACCGCCACCCGGGTGAGATACCAGCAGGTAGACGAGTGGCCTGGTCCAGGCTGCTCCAGAGTTTGGCTGTCCAGTGGCTTTAGATTCTCAATGTCCCAAGTGTTAGATACTAAGTCTCTTTCAGAGTCCCTTTCAGAGTGGCATATGTAAAGAACAGGTGTGGGGACCCCACAAAGACCACAGGCCTAAACTCATTTTATCTGCAAAGGAGAGCTCTGGCTGTGCCTCCTGGCCCCTCTCTGGAAGCAAGCCACTGGGGTGGTGACATCATGGGCTTTGACCTTTTGTCCCAGCTTCCTTTGGGGAATCCATTCCCAGTAGCCACAGTGGGAGAGCATGGACGGGATCAGCCGGCAGAGCAAGCAGGGAAACCAGAGTTAGATTGTTGAGACAACACTGGCAATGCAAGAGACTAACCAGGACCTCTGTCCTTTCAGTACGAGGATCGCCGTGCGGAGTGGGTCACCAACGAGGCAGGCTTCAGCCATAGCCACCAGCACGGTTTCGGCCTGCTCAATGCTTGGAGGCTCGTGAATGCAGCCAAGGTGAACAGGTGTTGGCAGGGCAGGGTGCCCTGTGTGGAGGGACCAAGGGTCGGGGCTGAATGCCCCAAACGTTGCCTGGGATATCATAGGTGCCTAGTAAATATTCGTTCAGTCCATTGATTTAACCACTTCAACCCTCATCCCAGCTGATATCCATTTTACAAATGAGAAAGCAGGCTCAGTGCTATCACTGAAGTTTCCAAACTACTAATAGAGTAAATGGGACCTGAGTATGCATGGGACTCAGGATGCTCTGGTTCCCCTCCTCCACCCTGGACACAGCCATTTCCTCTGGTTCCTTAACTAGGGGCTGTACATAGCATTCCAGCGAGCAAGAAGGAGCCGAGGGCTGAAGGAAGGTGATGAGGAGTGGGAAAATAAAGACAGCTAAACCTTCAAGATCGTATTGACGAGGGCGTGTGTGTTTGTGAGAATGTGGGTGTGATCATTCTTGTTTGTTGATTTGCCATCCCCTCCTTTCCTTTCATAGATCTGGACATCTGTCCCTTACTTAGCATCCTACGTCAGTCCCATGTTAAAAGAAAACAAGGCGATTCCGCAGTCCCCCCGTTCCCTGGAGGTTCTGTGGAATGGTAAGTAATCAGCACAAAGTGGGTTAATCTTAGGCCTGAGGTTTGGGGCTGGGTGACAAGGAAGTTAAACTCGTCCTCCCTGCCAGATTCTACCCCCTTTCGGAGCTGAGCTCCAGCCAAACCTGTGGAGTTTTCTTTGACCATTTTAGGACATGTTACTGCTTCTGAGTTGGCTGCCCCGGCTGCTTAAACAAGACCTTTCTCCTGGGTTCCTAGTAGTGAAAAGGAGCAGCAGAGCAACTGAGGAGGAAGGCGGGTGGGAGGCATGGGACTAGGGCTTGGGGAAGTGAGGCGAGACCGGGGCGAGAGCTCAGAGAAGCTCCTGTGACTTCCATGCTAAGATCTTGCCAGAGAACTCTGGTCAGTCCTTTGGTGTCCGGATGAAGTAAAGGAGTTTGGCATTTCTTCCTTTGATTCTTAGGCTTACCTAATAGAGTGAGATGCGGTCTGCTGGGGATGGACAGAGGGTCTGTAGAAGTCTCCTAGGCTTTAGCGACCCATCCTCTGCCTCCGCCTCCGTGGTGCCCAGGGTGAACCAGGACTGTCTGAAGAGGGTGTATCCTCTAAGCCAGCGACCTGGTTTTATGTTGAGCGAAGAGGCGGACGCCCTCGCTAGAGGAGAGTGTGGCTGGATCAGGATGCTTGTGCTAGAGGATGCCCTGTCTGCACATTTGCCAGCGTTTTCCCTGCCCCCAGCTCCTTGGGGGATTCTTTTTCCGTGAGTCATTCGCTACTTTTTGCAGAGGAAGCATGCTATGCCTGGTGCCCAAACCAGAACTGTCTTCACTTTTTCTGTCCTCCTAGTGATCAATCGAGAGCCATGGCAGGAGAAGGGATGGCCAGAGAAGGTTACTCAGAAGGGAGGCTGAGGGGTAGCTTCCCTCGGGTGGAGGTTTCACTGAGAAGAATTGAGTTTCCTCTCTCCTAACCACGTCCAGCACTTGCCCAATTTCCCTCCACGTGGAATGAAACCCCAGGCCAGTCACTTCATTTCCCGTAAAAGGAATGTTATCTTGGAAAGGGCATAAGGCATCAGCCAAGTCAGAGAAGTTCAGACACATTTCCAGGAATGCAGTTCGTTTGGAAACCCCTGGCTTTGCGCTTGCGTGTCTTAGAGATAGTGTGCCTTCAACTGCACCTTCCATCCACGGCTATTTCCCATCGCATCTGTCAAATGAGGGCAGTGACTTCAAAGAGTAATATGTTCTCCCCAGCTTCGTCATCCTCTGCTTCCAGCTGACCAGGGGACGTTGCCACGGAATGTCTACCCTAGGCATTGAGGCATCTGGCAACTGCTTGCTTGTCACTAAAAAGTAAGAGACAGAAGGGCAGATTGCCTGGGTGGAGAAGAGTGGGAGGTGGCCTAGTGGAGAAAGCAGGATTAAGAGAAGGGAGGGAAAAATTTAGGGAGTTTGGCTAATGGAGCCCTTTACCTATTGGAAGGGCAGCAAGCAAAAGTTTAGTTACTAGAGTTTTCCCTCCCCCCAGCTCCCTGGGGGATTTTTTTTTTTTTTTGCCTTGAGTAATTTTGACATGCAGAGTTATTCACAACTTTTTGCAAAGTACTGTTTTCATTGGCTTTTCAGAGCCAGTGAAGTTGTCTTCTCCTCCAACACGACCACATTTTCCTCTGAGCAGACAAAACAACGAATAAGTTTGTGGGCTTGCTTGGAGGTTGAAGGAAATAAGTCCAGTTAAAATGAGAGTTAAGCCAGGTACCCGGACTCATGCCTGTAATCCTAGCACTTTGGAAACTTTGGGAGGCCGAGGTGGGCGGATCACCTGAGGTCAGGAGTTTGAGACCAGCCTGACCAACATGGTGAAACCCCATCTCCACTAAAAATACAAAATTAGCTGGGTGTGGTGGCGGGTGCCTGTAATCCCAGCTACTCAGGAGGCTGAGGCAGGAGAATCACTTGAACCCGGGAGGCGGAG